ATTACAGTTGGATTGTTGAAGATGGCGCTAAACATTCTAAACATTTATTATAGTTCGATTACCTGAGGATCAATTGAACCTATGTAGTATGTTGGTTACCAGGTAACAAATAACAATGGACTGAGCACTACCAATAATATATTTCCGGAATCCCTAAATGGACCGAGTATGATCATCACTAGGTCAATGGACCGTCCATTATTGTAAGAAATAACCTGGAACCCTAACAAAAAGAATAAAGGCTTGTTCAGATATGGCCCGGTAATGTATTTTTTCATTTACACACAAGCGATTAATTTATGACAATTGAAACCGCTCGCGAATAGTGAGCTATAGGGGTGATGACTACTTGTGATATGCATGAAATTTGCCTTTCTTCCTCAGAAAATTGTGTTCTTAAAAAAGAATTATGACAAAGGAAAAATTGCTATCAACATAGCACATGATTTCTGCTATTCAAAGTTAAAGTTACTACACTGTCGCTCATAAAAGTGGAATATTTTTATTTCATCCCAATTTATGGAATTATTTTTAAAATAATTAAAAAATAATCTAAGATCTAAATAATAGTATACATTCTCAGATTTTATTGAATAATAATTTGTCAAAGTGTGTTATGCGTGACCGCTAAAGCATTTGTATGCTACTATGCTTATCAACTAGGGGACCTATGCCCTTAGGTCATAAATGACAGTAATGAGGATTAATGCCCCACAAAAGGGCACTAATATAGCACATCGACACGGTCTTGATCCTGGGGCCTCACAGTTACGAGGCCATCGCTTTGTCACTAAACCATGACTGTACGCAGCGGGGGCTAGGGTAGGGGGCAGTTTCCATAAATAAAACAAAAAACAGAAAATGCAATAAGTTTTCAATAATTTATTGCATTTTATCCCGGTCCCCAACATAAACAAATCTTCTGTGTGCCCATGCCTTGAGCCAAAATGCATGGCCGTCCAGAGGATTTTTTTTATATTGGGGACCGGAGTAAAATGCAATGAATTATTGAAAGATTACTCGAAGTGTCGATTTTCTGGATTTTTTAAATAATGGAACATATATTTATTCACGATGGGATAAGTAAAATTTACAATTTTTTTTAAAAGAACATATGGCTATATGCCACCATAAGTGAGAAAATAGTATTATTTTATTTTGTGTAGACAACTTTTACAGCTCTACGCATTATACATCAAGACCAAATTAAACAATAAGAAAGCTATTGATTTCGAATGTCATTTTACATTGTCTGTTTTCGATATCTATAATCTACCCCCATACCCCCTAATATGTCTGCTTCAATTAAGACCAACTTTTTACGAAGGGGTGCCGATTAGGTGCCAAAAGTCCCCCCCCCTTACTTCGGATAAGTGCCCCTCTTACTTCGACACGTGTCCCTTTTGCTTTCTGATCCCTTCCCTTCTTGCATAATCTTTCTTATAAATGCCCCTTTTCCACCTTTGATAACTGAATCTATCTAAATATGATAGGTTCCCCCTTTTACTTTTTAATAAGTGCATGTTCTCTTCTAAGAAGTGCCCTTTTTCAGCTCTGGTGAATGTCCCATATTAGGTATAAGAAATTCCTCTTTTTAGTATCCCTTTCACTTTTTCGGGTGCCCCTTTTCCTATTTAATAAGTGCCCCTGTTTTGAGTAGCTTCCCAAGGGAGAAATTCAGATATTATTTATACTTTTATGCATGAAATATATTCTATTTATTTCAAACGTTCTCCATTTTGTTTCTCTCATTTCTTTTGATTTGAAATATGGAATTATTAGTAAGGTTTGATTGTACTTAAATGCGACTCTCTTGAACAAAAGCTCTTTCAACTGTGCGATATATGAAATAGATGTAAAACTCAGACTGAATTCGATGTGAATCTTAATTTATTTCGTAATCAAAATAAAAGTTTTTACAATACCTCGTAAAAGTTTTAGTGTCTAACGTATTGCTTTAGGAGAAAGGTTCAAATCCGTGCTAAATTTTGAGAAAGATTTAATAACAGCTCAATCACAGTAGACATTATTCCTGCATAAGAAACCAGAGTACACATCTATATAGTACAGTGTTACAACTATATGTTGCACAGTACAAGCTCCTTCTAGCGTAAAAACTGCTACCCCTTTTATACACACTTGCACACCCCCCTCCCCTGCAAACTGCAAATAATCCCGTAGACTACACATATTTCATATTATGTTTTGTAAATACATGTCATCAACACAAATAATAATTTGTACTATATAGAATGTCGTATCAATAACTATCATCAATAAATATTCATCATTTCAATTAAAGAATAACATACAAACGTATGCATGAAATAATACATTAATTGCTACACAAAATAATAGAATACATGATATACATCGGTACACAAATATCGAAATTGCTTGGTACAAGGGGTAGGTAGCAACCAGAAAGGAAGTGACCTTCATAAGTGGCCGACCTAAAGAAGATATAATTAACAGTTAAATACGTTTACCAGATTTGAATGACATGACAAAACACAATATTCCTACCACAAAAAATACACATCACTGTGCGTGATATTATAAAAAAGATCATGGAAAAGAAAAAAAAGTTCAAATTAAATTAATAACTAAATTACAACATCCCTACCACAAAAAATACAAATCACCGTTCGCGATATTATAAGTCTATCAACAATATATTAAGGACAGAAACTGAAAAAATTGAAACACAGATAAAAGGAAATATCTCCAAAAAGTGAATAAATGAATCGGGTATTTAGTTCTATGTCATTTCTCCTACTTACTTTGCCAGACGGAAATTAAACATAGAAAACAGACAACAAAGATATCACAGTCCTTCAGATAAAATATTAAAAAGCCTTATTTTGACGATTGGTTTTACAATACTTTTGCGAAATACATAAAAATAAAAAGGTCGATTTTTGAAACTCTTGAACTCTTCGTACACAAGTAGAGACATAAAGAAGTAGTAATTTTATGAAAACGTTTCCTCTTACGATTCTGGGTAAAATGTAAAAACTAGTTTGAATAATCGGACAGTGATCTGAAAAGGATTGTAGAAAATAAAGGAAAATTAGTCATTGTATTAAAAGCCAATACATATAGAGTCTATTACTATGATGATTATCTCCTACTGTAAAAACAATCTTTTAGTCCACAATTATATTGTGTCTACATCATTTACAACAGCTATAAAAAAAAAATATCAAATTCACAATGTAGATACATCATCAACAACCAAATCTTGAAAGATAAAAACATCCGTATATCAAAAGAAAGTTTACTTTTTAAAAAGTTTCAATTATTAAAATTGATCTGACATGATTTAGGAAAATAATTTCTGAAACAGTCTCTAAAACTCAAATTCACATAGTTTGTGATATAACTGACTCCATTTGATGTTATAAACCTTTACACTTTATAAAGTCACAGAAACACCAGGCCTGTTGGATGTTTTTGAAAAAAATAGCCGGGCATGGGTCTGTTTTTTAACGAAATATTATGTTACTCTCAATTTTTCAGCGTGCTTGTTTAAACCAGAAAAAATAGGTCCATTCGGACACATCGCACCCCCCCCCCACTTCTTTCTATGGGTCTGAAGACAGTGGTATCATACAGTGCAACAAGTAAGGATGAGGCATTCATTATTTTCAGTGGAATATATAGAGTCTATCAGAAGTGCAGAAAGCGATCTCTCCTGATCGGTACTGCTGGAGATAGTACCACTGTCGCTCAGGCTTCTCAATCTTGTAATCAGTGACGAGGTTCTGGATATGCTTCAGCTCAGTGTACTCATCAATGCTGACCAGACCTACATCGTGATTCAACGAGGCTATCAGGATTGTATTCCCTTGAGACACAGCAGCAAATAACTGATTCCCTAATCTCGTTAATTCATATTTTACAATACCTTGTTTGTCAATCAATCGTATTGTAGAAGGAAATCTGGTGATCAGGTAATCATTATAACTAGTAATCTGCTCAGGTTCATACCCATCGCATGGTATCTTCCTGATCGCCTTCCCACCTGCTGGTGAGAATACCTGGATCCTCTTGGCTTTCCTGTAGCTAACATAGATCTGGTCATTACCGTCTACAGTGAGCTTAGAGATTCCACCTTCATCTTTACTCAGAGTCTCAAACATTACATTCAACTTTGAGTACTCTAATGTGTACAGTGTGATATTGTTTGAGCAATCAAGTATAACATACCGATCATCAGAGAGGAACCCTACTCCATTAATAGGGACATCCTTGAAAACTTTATGCTGGTGATGACCATCAGCAGAGAAGATCACGACTCCACCTGCGTAACATGCCACTGCCATCCTACCGTCTGGTGTACCAACCATGGCATTCATGCTATTCTTAGTAGGCAAAGCGATGTTCCTTGCAACTGCATTTACGATCTTACCAAGAGCTAGCTCGTCCGTGCCAACGTTCCTCTTAAAACTGACACTTGTTTCTTTCTTGCTCGAATGCCTTGGCTGTTTGTAGTCGGGATCTTCTTGTTTCAAGGCCTCCTGTAAGTCTTGACATAAAGTGTCGTGAGCAGCCAAAGCATCCATATCTGATGGTACCTTTGTCCTATTGATTACCACTTCAGCTAAGGTGGTAAAGTGAGTGTGATATACTCCACAACCGATTTCTTCATTTCATCCATTTCTTTCTCTACTTCTTCGGTCCTACCCTTGACTTCACCAATGAGGGTTTCCTTCTTCTTTGTCAACTGCCGGACCGATTCCTCATATGCTTTGTTGATATCATCTGTACACTGCTTCTGAACATTACTCACACGCTCCTTCTGTTCATCAATGAAATCAACGAATTTCTGAAAGCAAGAACGTTTCTCATCTGCCTTGGATTTGAGGTCATCGATACTCTTCATATGGCTGCTTTCATAAACAGCTGCCTCAATGACCCCATGTCCTTCCTTTGTATGTTCCATGACAACACATCTGAAGCAGGCAAATCTCCTGCAGTCGGAACAGAAGCACTCCTCATCCTCTTTGGGGTGTTCCTGCATTTACGGTATCTATACGTACTGACACCTTACCTGATACGATCTCACTCATGGGTAAGACCTCATGACTGATGAAGTCTTGCCACTGAGAGTGGTTGTTATGGCAAGTGAAACATAGATACTTGCCACAGTCTTGACAGTAGACAGCAGCTTGCGGCTTGTCCTCGGATTTACAATTCGAGCAAAACTGACGATGATTCTTCACGTCCTCTATGAGCGACTTCAAAGCTAGACTTGCCGGTAATTTGCTGACATCTCGGTTTGGGACCTGGGTTTCAGCTCTGCAGACAGGGCATCGGAGCATCTGGTCGTTACCATGGCATTCCAAGAGGTTGTCCAGACAGGCCTTGCAGTAGGTGTGAGAACAAGACAGGATCTTGGGATCGGTGAAGGTATCCAGACATACAGGACACTCGAGACTCTGAGCAATGACATTCTTTAATGCATCAGCCATGATTCGAATTCTACAGGAATACGAAATTAAAGAAAAATGAAGAAAAAAAAATTATTGAAAAAGTTGAAGCCCATGGTTAATGGTAAACCGTGAGAATCGAAACAAACAAAATTGACATGAGTCTCAAAAATGTAGTTTACTATTTACATTTTAGCACTTGATTTTCATTGGAAAAATAATCATTACATTATCCCTCATTAATATGAAACCAAGTATCATATATTGACGATGATTTCATACAGGGGAGGTGTGAATTTAAACTCAGATCTTCCTATATCTGCACATCCGACGCAAAATACTTGCTTCGGAATCTTATACCAAGAGTATCAAACGTGTGCTATTCACCTGTCTCGAGTATTCATCTGTGTACCTTTAATTAATAGCGCATAACACCAAGATTTACAAATTTCTTGAAATTTGAACGACAAAAAAATTACGTTCCATGATCTGCCTTCAGATATGATGTAAATAAACATACCGTATTCTTAACATGAAGTCTAGGCTTTTAACAACTCTAAAACTTAGTAGGCAACATTGTGTACTAATTTTAAAGCTGATGAAGTATCAAAAGCAGTACTATAAACATGTACTTTTGCACACAGGAATATACTATAAAAAAATCATCATGATTGTACAGAGGAAATTATATGGCTCTGGTTTGGCAGAATCGTTACCTGAAATATTAGCTACGTTTAATAAGAATCGCATATTACCTGAAATATTTCATATGTGTATTCATATATCTACATAACATGTAAAAATAATGATTCATGACAACTTTGTAATTCAAACCACAATAACATACCAAAATCGTCAAATTTTTTCCACAGGACAAACGAACGCTGAGCAGTTATACTTATGAATGATATCAATATTATCAGAAGTTTTCTAACGCGACAAACATTACTTCCGGGTTCAAGATCAAGGACATTAAACTGTTGTGGTCTGGTTTCAAAGCTCTGTTTTGTTCCGTTTTATTTTGTAGCCTGTTTTTTCATTGTTTACTAAACTGATATCATTTTCTTAACACCCGTCATTCTCATCTTAGTCTTGGTTCAGTCGCTCTTCATTTATCACCTCAGAGAGATATAGACCCAGACCTAACTACTTCAGTCTAAGGAAAATAATAATTTTACAAACCAGATGCAAAAGAAGTCTCAAAAATGTCTGGGAGTTGGCGTATATAAATGTCATGAATATACGAAAATGTAAACCAAAATATTGCAAAAATTCACTGCATTTCTTTTGGAAATTACATACATGTACATTTTAATTTACTCACGTCTTTTCCCGTCAGTACATATCGGTCTAGGTGTTATACGAAATCAGTAAACATGTATACTCTCTGCCTTTACAACATAGTGGTGCACTGATCATACGTGGTACTATGTACATGTATGTATTTAGCTTGACATTCTAATTTTAGTAATTGGGAATTCCCAGTAACCTTTGACAGACAACTAGATTGAAATCGCCCAATAAAATCTCGATCGTGTAGTAGTTTGTCAAGCGTCTGTCGGGCCGACATATTCCCGTGCCAAACTTGAATTCTATTTCTGTTACCCCATCCCCCATTACAAAAACATTGTCAAGTAAAGTTCGAATTTTTTGCTAAAAGTCTTGTAGAACGGTGTTCCTTCGAGATTACAGTTGGAAACAGTGGCGGAATTGGCAAAAATTTTTTTTTTTTTTTTTGGGGGGGGGGGGGGGGGGGGGGGAGGCCAAACAAAATCCGCATCACCACAATTTTTACCAGTGAGGGGGGTGGGGGCTAATTTTTTACGATCAGGTTGAGCTAAGCGAGCGGGGTTTTAGGGATTTGATTATGGTCAATTTAGCATATTTTGCTACCTTATTCACGGTGACACTGGCAGGTCACTAGTTAACGTGGGGTCCAGGGGCCGAGGGCCTGAGCCCATGAGGCTCAGGAGTTTCAGGCATTTAATAATGGTCAGATGAGCATATGTTGATACCTTATTTGTGACACTGGCAGGTCACTGATCTTTCTTTATTACTTTCTTTCTATTTCTTTATAACATAAACGCACAATAAAGCAATATTTACAAAAAAAGTGAGAACAAATCCCGGAAAATCATGTCATTTCAGCAACATGTGTAAATCACTGGTTAGAAATGAACCCACCCCACCCCCTTCCATCAGTACGCAGCGGTTGGAATGTTAGAGATGGCGCTATATATACATGCAAAACAGTGCCATTGATTAAGAGAGTTTGGCCAACCCGGTTTGAGTTGGACACAAGATGGCGACTACTTCTTTGTTGGGCAAGCACAAAACAAAAGAACATACGGCATGTTGTGACCCAGTGAAACCAAGTTGGCCCAACTCTGTGTATAGATGGCTCTGATGCAAAACACATCTGGCCGGACAGCTAGAGAGAAGTAAAGAAGATATTCGATCTTAGAACTTTACCTTTACTGGTCTAACCAATTTGTCGATCTAGTTGGGAAAGCTAAAAAGTTGTTCGATTTATTATATTTTCAGGTTATGTAGGGGCTATTTCGCCTTTATTGCTGAGGCCTACAAGTCGTGGGGTAGAGGGGGCAGTGCCTCCCTTCCCTCGTATTTTTAAATTGCAAATGACATATTCGGCACGCGTAACTGTCACCCGATTATGACAGGTGCGTAATATTCAAACAGCCTACTATCCTATTTATATCTTTATTTCTGATTTTGTCCTGGTAAAACAACAAAAAATGACTGCAATTTAATTATATTCAAAGATTCATAGGGGGGGGGGGGGGGGTGTGTCATAAAGACTAAGATCGACTACAAGTTGGACTTATTTATGGCAGGCCATTTTTGTCACTGTTTGCTCTCACCTTTCTGATCTTTAGATGATGTTTTTCTTTGTTTTTCTAAATGTACTTTTAGTCAGAGGCGCGGTAATCGGAAATACACCCGTTTTACTTTGAAAAGTGCCCTTTTCCTTTGTAGTAAATTCCCCTTTCCCTTTTTAATAAGTGCCCTGTTTTAGGTGCAAGAAGTACTCCCTTTTTACTTCAGATAAATCCCCTTTTACAGTGACACGTGTCATGTTTGCTTTCTGATAAGTACACCTTACCTTTTGTATAACCTTTTCGAGCGATAATCCATGATGCAAATTATTCGTGAAAGAAAGGCGTGATCTTTGAAACCTGGTGAAAGTTCTCTTCTTCGTGGTAGTCAAGCAGGAGGATGGGAGGAACGAGTGAAGATGAATGTACCTACAGGATCAAGCTTCTCCGAGTTGGCGACTCGAATGAAAGGTTGGTTAATTTTAATTGTGCCTCTTTCTTCATTCCTTTATTTTCCTTATTCTCTCTATTTCTCTTTTTTTTCACGCTATTTCTTGTTCTGATATATTTCTTTTATCTATTTGTTTGATCTGATGCTTGTATCCTGAAGTTTCTCGCTTTCCCCAAACCTGGTGCGATCAGCTTGCGAAACTTCGGTGACGACAGAACCTCGCCGTTACCGGCTTCTACGTGCTCGATGTGAACGGTGCTGCCCTTGATTGTCAAATCCAGTTTGTTGATGAGGTCCATCCCGAGGAGTGCTCATCCTTACGACGTACAATGTAGCATCGGCTTGACGAGTGCCTACTTTGACGGACGTGTGCAGTACGTGCACCAAGTACCGGGATGTCAGCTTGAGAGTTGTCGGATAACTTTATACTCTAGTTGGCTGAATGGCTTCTTTGATAAGATGCCTCTCGAGGACGGTCTGTGGGTTGATGGACACACTCGATCTAGTATCGACGGTCATGTCTATGTCCACTCTTCCAGCGAGCTGAACTCTGCATTTGACTGAACTTGTAGGCTCTCAGTTTACTGTCAAGACTTTACTTGCAACGTCTTGAACTTTCACCGACCAGTAGAGGCCTATCAACTAGGACGAAAGTCATCACATATCCTTCCAGCACGGGAGGGGTAAAACATCTCAGCTTACTGTGATCCATATATATTTCATCTTGAATTCACTATTTCTGTGCCTTATGTGGTTTGCTGTCACTGATTGAGGGAGCTAGGGGATATTACCCGAAATTACTTTGAGAATAATATGACCATGGCGACTGCATCTCCCCTTTTATTTTGTCAGAAGGGGCGGATCCAGCCGGCGGCAGGGGAGGGGGCCACAGAGGGGGCCCAATTCTTGAGAGAATAGTTTAAGGCGAAACAGCCAGCCGGTGAATATTTGTAGGGGGAGGGTAAGGAGCACGAATTTGAAAAATCGCACCCCCCCCTTGAGCGCCAGGGGAGGGGGGCCCCTCTTTAAAAAAAAGATAAAATTAACGTGTTTTAAACTGTATTTTTTCCCAGGGGAGGACCCCCCTGGATCCGCCACTGGATGAGGCATGATGTAGTAATTATTAACTAAAATTTGTAAAGATGTATTGGCTTCAAGAATGTACCATCAGAGACTGTTCCTTGAAGAAGAAAAGAAGACCTTAAAAATACTGCTAAAATTGGAATCTGTAAGGTGATATTTTAAAAAGAGACGACCCCAAACGCCCGCTCCCCCATGCCTATGCCCATGAATCTACCACCTTGACTCATTAATTCTGAACTACAGCACAAATGGGTAGAATGGTATCATGACCTTAACATGAATGCTGCCTAAGAAAAGCTACAAAGTGCCTGTAAATAGTGACGTCATCATTTTGCGGAGTGAAAATTAGTGGCACGCGTATCGAGAAAAGACCGTCGGCGAACAATTTTATCATCAATTCCATTTGCGATTCAGTTCAGACGGGCGGATTACGATTCTTCCACCGTGGCCTTCAGATGCCGTCTTTGTGTCATCTCCCTTTTGATGTTGTTTTCTTCCGATGGTACTTATCTGCAAGCTAGCCAAAGACAGTTGGTATTCTAAGAGAGACATATCAAACCCGATTAGCATACACTCAGCAAGAAAATCTTGGCCTGCATCATAGGGAGACAAATTGTGCATCAATACTGTAGAGCATGTAACCATGGTAATGAGAATGGTGAATACTTCTTTTTTTTCTCGCCATTCATTGTCAGGATATATCCCTTTAGGATTATTATATGGAATTATATATATTCTGAAAGGGGCAAGGAAAGGTTTTCTCGTACAATCGGCCCACAGCATCCGCCAATGTGCCCCGATATTACATGCTATTAAGGTAAGAACTCAAGAGGATTATGTTTAAAAGAAAATGTTTGCATTAAAATTCAATTACATTCATAGTAATCAATCTCTCTTGCTGTATGCGGATATCTGTGTCGGTCCGCATATTCTCTCTCTATGTCTTATTTGTTTCCATTTTTACTCTCTCTCTCTCTCTCTCTCTCTCTCTCTTTCTCTAGCTTTCTCCCCAACCCCCCCCCCCATCTCTCTGTTCCAATGTGACTCAGTCTCCCTTGCGCCCCATTCTCTTTCTCTCATTCTCCTGTTTGAAGCAGAAGCAGTTCTGTCTGACTTTCCATTCCCGATCTCTGTTCAGCATACAGGTAAAAAGGGTTTAATGACATTTGTACATAACGCCGTTTGAAACGTTTTATCTGCTTTTTAACCATAATTTTGACCGAAATGAAAATGTTAGACTATTATTTCCTAGACAAAGGTTTTCAAGCAGTGTTAAGGGATGAAAAAAACATCATTCATTTGGTGGTAAATAACGTGACAGAATGAAATAAAAATGTAGTATTCACTGAGCTTGGAAAGGAGAGAAAAAGGGAGAGATTTGAGAGAGGGAAAGGGAGAGAGAGAGAGAGAGAGAAAGAGAGAGAGAAAGAGATGCTTTTCACACTGGTAATATTTTCCTTAGCTCACTTCGTTTTCACACTCGGTTTTACCAAAGTGGGGTAGGCCCATTGGTAGTATACTTATACGGGATTATTTGGCCCCGGAAAAGCAGGGTCAGCATCGCAATCGGGGTGTTAACTCTTGAAATGCGGTGCTAAGAGCTTTATTGAGAACAGAAGTCAAAATAGTCCGGGGCTTAGGAAAAGCGGTGCTAATCCGTGAAGGTGGAAACGCCGTATCCATTCAGGTATAGTCAGGGATTACCGATTACGATTGTGTGGATTTAATGCGACTCTCTTGCACAACAGCTCTTTCAACTGTGCGATATATGAAAAACTCAATCTGAATTCGATGTGAATCAAAATTTATTTGGTAATCCAAATAAAAGTATTTACAATACCTCATACAAATTTTGGTGTCTACCGTATTGCTTTAGGAGAAAGGTTTAAATTCGTGCTAAATTTTGAGAAAGATGGAATAACAACTCGATCACAGTAGACATTATACCTGCATAAGAAATCGGAGTACACATTCATATACAGTGCGTCCCAGAAAAAACGAAACCGAGAACTATCGAT